AGAGAGAGAGAAGAATTTCATATTTTTAAAAACTATTTTCAAAATATTTACAGTTGTGCCATTGGGCTTCCGTTGATCGTAACTTCTTCGTTACAACTTCAATTTGAGCCAACTACGTGTCTACGAACTCGTATTCACTCGATTTAAGCAATAATACCATTTATTTTCCCAAAATCCTTCCAGATTAAAAAGTGACCAAAATAACCCTACTCACGAGGGTTAAAATGTAATTTCATAATTAAACAAAGTAATTAATTTTAATCAAATAATAAAAATTGGGCCGGGATGTTACAATTCTAAAATTGAATTATGCAGTTTCTGATCAATTTGCTACAGCACTAACAAAACAACAAACTAAAGAACTTCATGAAAACAAGCATTGAATGACAGTTACGAGGGAATATCCACTAATGAAACAATTGCATAATTTTCATTAACTTCAAAAAACATACCTCAACAACAGAAAAATTGAGCTTCACATCAAAACATGAATATTGCAATAGAAGAAGAAGATTGAAAAATGCACTGCAGTTTCTAGAAAAACCAAAAGTTTTCATATATGCATAGAAAACTGATGAGGCCCACAAGTAAAAGAACAAATTTTAAAATTTTAAAATCCATAAATTAAACAAAAATCATCCTTAGTGGCATCAATTACATCTATTTTCACATACTCATAGCCATTAAATTTTCTTTTGCATACAAAAAGTAAAAATAAAAAATTGAAGATAAAGAAACTAAAGCAGGTACAATCATCAACAAGTAACAATCAAGAACTCAAGCAAGTACAATCATCAACCAGCAAAAAAGTCTGGTAAAATAACTTCAAAAATAATATATGGAAAGCATTGAAAAATTAGGGATTCACCTCATGATTTTCTTTGTTTCTTCTTGTAATCATATCATGGCTTCAAATTCCAAATACTTTATGAGAGAGATGGTGTGGCGTGGAGTGGAGAGGATCAGAGAGAGCATACGCTTTGGCCTTGGCAAAGGAAAGAATAAGTTGTAAAGAACAAGTGAAGAAACAATTTGGGCAGAGAAAAAAATAATCAATTTGGGAAAAGGAATGTTGAAAACTTGGTTACCTGGGAGAAGAGAGCACGCCTTTTTGTTTGTTGGGAACTTGGGAGAAGAAAACAACAAGTTGGAAACTTTGGAGAGGAGAACAACATATTGTTAGGAACAAAAACTCTGCCTACCGCCATCTCCTTTATCTTGATCTCCAGTAAGGAGAGGCCGAAGAGAGATGAAGAGGCTTTGGAGTCGGCGAGGTCAAGGACCTGAGCTCCTATGAGGCTAACCTCAACTTCCAGTAGAGAGAGATCGATTACCCTCCGTTTGGATGAAGGAATTGCCAATTACGTAGAATTCTAAAATGACGGAATTTAGATTTCCGTCATTTCAATTTCTGGCAATTGAAGATTTCAGTGTTTGGATTTATGTATGTCGGATTTTGTAAATGACAGAAATTGAAAATTTCAATGTTTGGATAGCTCATGTAAATTATAAATGACATAAATTAAATATTTCGAAAGAACAAAAAAATTGATAACCGACATAGAAGGTATTCCTCGAAGTATAAAATAACATATCGTTTGATGAACTAAATAACTCAACTTAAACAAACAGAGCATACTAGCAAACCAAATCACTCCCCACGTGCAATAAACATCAGCAACATACTATTTTTTTTCTCAATTGGGAGTGCCTTCAGCATATGAAATTGTTTGTCATTTTCTATCATCCAAGCACATGCTTTGAGTTGTTCATTTTCACTAAGACCTGGTACTGATTGTACTTCAGCATATACCTCTGCTGGATCAAGTAGGTTCTTAGTATCAACACAGATAAACTCTTCAAATGATAAAGCCATTCTAGCAATCGAATTAGCAATAACATCTTTGATAGCACATCTTTCAAAAAAGCTAGCAAAGAACTACAGAGCTGTACCATAAACACAAATCACACACCAATATCCATGGGCATAGAGTATTTTCTTAAAACTTCCCAAAATCCAGCCATAGTGCCGCAAAGATCACAAAACCCATTCAACACATTCATAAATTTAGTCAGAAACACCCAATTTTGATAGCCATTCAGAAACCATGGTAACCCTAAAATAGAAAAATATAAATTGGAGAGAAAGGCTTGAAGACTAACCTTCAAACTTGATCCAGAGAGATGTGTAACCCAAGAAGAACTCCTTCTCCTTACTTCTCTGGCTCACGGCTTTTTTATGATGCTTCTTACTTCTTTGGCTCGCAGTTCTTTAATAAAGCGACAAGGCAATTTGTTGTCCAAGGTTTCATAGGTTTATAAAGCGACAAGGCAGTCTGCTCCAAATTCCCGACTTTTAGCTAAATTCCGAGTTATTTTCCCTGATCCAAACAGAGGGTAAGAGAGATCTAATTTTTGTCAGGCTTTTAAACGAAAAGGGTAAAATTGTATTTTAACTTTGAAATGTAGACAGGCCCAACGAACCTGGGCCTCCTCTTTGGCCTAATCCAAAACAAACTTTGATTCCTAGGTATTAAAACCCAAACATAAATACTCCATGTCTCAAATCTTAATTAGTAAGGATTGTTATGTGTAATGCCTAATTTTTCTATATAATTATTGACCTAAGAGATATTCTCTTTGTCGACGTAGTGCCTCATGATTGGTTGCCGATATATTTGTTCCCACAACTTACACATCACATGCACACCTCTTACACATCACATGTGCACAAATGAACAAGAAATTACAAACAAAAATATTTCACACGCACACTAGAAAACAAGGAAATAAAAAAAATTGTTCCAAAATTGCCTCATCATCCGTGGAGTGAAATACCCTACTAACAAACAGGACCTACAAGTCTTTTCATTTGGTATGTATGCCCATTTTAGTCTTTCTGAAAGTAGGCGCACGACAGATTTAGGTAGTTTGTATTTTAGGAGAAGAACTTGCATGTCATGAGGATAATGTTGTTTTGCTATCTCAATCCAATCACGTTTCGTCATGGGGAATCCTTATCACATGTGGTGGAACGTGATTAGTTGGGGATAACAGAACAATGCTATTCCCGTAATATGCATTTTTTTTTCTTCGTATTTTAGGGGCTTTTTGATAATTTCCCCTTGATAAAATCTTCCTGTGTTTCTTGACACCCAAAAAATAAAATAAAATAAAATAAAAAACTCAAATTAAGCCTAAACTGGTACAAAAATAAGTTCAACCAGCGCATTAATCTTCTCAACAACAGTATAACCTTGCGACCAAACAGTGGGACCAAAGCGTAATGGTATAATTTCTAGGGTTTCAACATTTCGCTATAAAAGCATGATACTATGCTTCTTCTCAGCTCACGGTCCCCAGCTCTTCAAATTTCCGAGATTTCTCTCTTTCGTCTTCTTTACTTTTAATTTTCCGAGATGGCTTTCTATTATTCTTTTCTTTGAATTTTGATTGATGAAAATGATGAAAGAGATGTGTAAGGGTGATGATCATTCGATTTCACGTGATCAAACAAATTCTCTTCGCTACGTTCTTTCTGATTCTTAAAGTCCCACTGCCATTCGACCCCCCCAGTATCTATTATTTCTCCTTTTTGTTTAATGTTGAATCTTCAAACTGGTTTTTGCCGAAATTGGTTAAATACAAATAAACACAATGCTCTGTTAATTGCATTTATTTTTAAGCAATCACAGATTATAATGGTGTATTTGTAATTGAAAGAAATGGTTTATATATTTTCAGATCAAAATTCACAACCCAATATCTCAATCTCACAACCAAAATGAAACACAAATTCATGGTTGGAGGATAAACAATCACAAATTGATGCTCGAGTCATATGCAGCTTCATTTTCTTTTTCTGCAGTTTGATGTGAGGAAATGTTTGATTAAAACTGCAGATTGGGTTCTACTTCCTCATGCAGGTTATTTCTCTGCTTCAAAGTTCATTGATTTTCTGCTTCCACTGAAAACTTGGGTTTCCAGATTGATTAACACAGAAGTACTCTAAACCTAGTTAATGAGTTTGAAGATAATCAAGTGATTATAATTTGGGTGGAAAAACACCATTATGGACCCCAAATTGCCTAATTTTTTTACCCCTTTTGAATCAATTTTACAAGTTATTGGGTTCTGATTGAGAGATGTATTAAGCTAATGCAGCCCTGATTTACCAAGGGATGATGGGCCTATAATTTTATCTTAAGGGTCTTAAGAGCATAAGATTTTTCAACGATTTTGTAACCTGGAAAACCAGAGACTATTAATGCTAATAAGAGTTAAAAACAGAGGAAGCAACAAGTTAACTCTTTGTTTAAGTCTGATGAATTGCTTGAACTAATTTCTTTTGATTTTTGGGAGCCTACCCCAATTAGCTCTTAGGACTCTTTTAAACTTATGGTTGGGGTCAAGGGGAAGATACTCAAAAGTGATGCTTAAAGTTAAATACATCCCCATTCTTCCTCTGAAATATGAAGTCTTGAAATTTCAATTCAACTGTCTATTTCATTAGAAATGGGACTCGTATAACACCGTTACGAAGCTTAGATTTCTGCAGATGTATTGATATGACCAGTCTGATTTAAATCATATACAGGATATACACGGTACTAAAGTGTAGAATTTTCAGTTTATTGACGTTTATCTTTCTGAGATTACTTTTCTTTTTAGGTTTTGGTTGTTTGATAATTTAGTCCAACACTGAGAGAATGAAATATTTTACAGCTAATGCAAGCTCATGGAAGGAGAATTATAGATAAAAGTCAATGGCTTTTTTGTTTCACCGGCCAACTTGACAAACACATTGCTGCTTTTGAGGATCTGTGGATCGTTTGTCATTTTTTGAGGTGATCGGTTGACTTCCAAAGTCAAACATACGATATCCTGATACAGCATGTCTAGCTAAGCTGTCAAGTGAAAGGAACAAAAGAAGAACAAGGAAGGCCAAGCTTGGCCTGTGCTTATAGCAAAACAGCACTTTTTTGCAAGTTTGTAAGGAGATGAAATTCACTTGCAGGAACAACTTTATTTATAAGCCTGTTCTGCTTCTGTTATGTTTAACCTTCGATGCTTGTATCTCCATGGCGTCTCATGTTATCTCTGCAGGCCAATCTCTTTCTGGGAACCAGACAATTACCTCTCCAAGTGGCATTTTTGAGCTGGGTTTCTTCACACCAGGTAACTCTCAAAACTATTATATTGGGATATGGTACAAAAAACTACCCCCTCAAACAGTAGTTTGGGTGGCAAACAGAAACCAACCTGTTTCTGATACATCGTCTTCAACATTGCAACTCTTCCAAAATGGAAACTTAACCCTACTGGTCCAATCCAAAACTGCAATTTGGTCAACTCATTCTATGTCAACGGTTTCTCATTCCACTGTAGCAATGCTACTTGACAGTGGGAACTTTGTCATAACAGATGCATTTAATTCATCTGTTGTTATATGGCAGAGTTTTGATCACCCAACTGATACTTGGCTTCCAGGAGGGAAGCTTGGACATAATAAGCTTACGAAAGAAAAACTAAGTCTTACTCCATGGAGAAACCCACAAAATCCAGCACCTGGCCTCTTTTCTTTTGAGCTAGAACAAAATGGAACAAGTTTTTGGTTATTTTGGAATGGTTCTAAAACTTATTGGACCAGTGGATATTGGACAGGGAAAATCTTTAGCCTTGTTCCGGAAACAGCAGCAAATGATTATATTGAAAATTTCACTTTTGCTTCAAATGAAAAAGGAAGCTATTTCACTTATGCTTCAGCATATAACGATACCTTTATTAGATTCATGCTTGAAATTACTGGTCAAATCAAGTTTTATGTCTGGGGGAAGGGCTTCACACAATGGACTCTAATCTGGATGCGACCAATTGAGCAATGCGATGCTTATGCTACCTGTGGTGCTTTTAGTATCTGCAACCAGCAGAATGCTTCTCTTTGTGGTTGCCTGCCTGGATTTGAACCCAAAGTCCCAAAAGTTTGGAAATTAAAAGATCACTCAAATGGCTGTCTGAGGAAAACTCCTTTACAGTGCAATGATGTCCGAAATTCCACATTTCTGGTGATGCATGATATTCTCTATCCTGTGAATTCTGAGTCTTTGACAGCTGAGAACATTGATAAATGTAGATTAGCATGTTTAAGAAATTGTTCGTGCACTGCTTTTGCTTATGATAATCAGTGTCTGATTTGGAAAGGAGATCTGCTCAATGTAAAGCTACTACCATCTGAAGGTACGGTAGGAAAAGATTGGCATCTCCGAGTTGCAGCATCTGACAATGAGTATCAAAAGATAGGGTCTACCGTTAAGATAAAGAGGAAGACTACTTGGATTGTAATTGGAGTACTTTTAGGTTTCACCTTTATCTTGACAGTTGTCATGATATTAGTCAGAAGGAGACAGTCAGCAGGAGCATTAGAGACAGTTGATGATTCTTTAGTGTTGTTCAAGTATAGAGATTTAAGAAGAGCAACAAAGAACTTCTCAGAAAAACTTGGGGAAGGAGCTTTTGGTTCTGTCTTCAAGGGGGTATTGCCTGATTCAACTGCCATAGCAGTGAAGGAACTTAAAAGTCTGAACCAGGGAGAGAAGCAATTCCGCAATGAAGTGAGAACTATTGGCTCAATCCAACACATGAACCTTGTTCGTCTCTGGGGATTTTGTGCAGAAGCTTCGAAAAGAATTTTAGTCTATGATTACATGCCGAATGGTTCTCTTCAATCTCTCTTGTTTCAAAAGAATCCGATAATCCTAGATTGGAAGGCCAGATATCATATTGCAATCGGCATTGCCAGAGGCTTGGCTTATCTCCATGAGGATTGTAGAGAGCGTATCATACACTGTGACATTAAGCCTGAGAACATTTTGTTGGATGCAGAATACAACCCGAAACTGGGAGATTTTGGTCTTGCAAAACTCATAGGCAGACAAAATAGCCGGGTTCTAACAACCATGAGAGGAACTGTAGGCTATCTAGCACCAGAATGGTTTTCAGGTGAAGCCATCACACCCAAAGCTGATGTCTTTAGCTATGGCATGTTGCTGATTGAGATTATTTCAGGAAGAAGAAATAGACAAGGGTTAGATGAGGGATTAGAGAGTTTCTTTCCAATCCAGGTTGCAAATATAGTAACCAAAGGAGAAGATGTTGTTACCTTGTTAGATTACAGATTGGAAGGGCAAGCAGACAAGGATGAACTAACCCGGGCATGCAAAGTCGCTTGTTGGTGCATTCAAGATGATGAGAAGGATAGGCCAAAAATGAGGGAGGTTGTTCAAATTCTTCAGGGAGTTTCAGACGTTGGTATACCTCTAATCCCACAGTTCCTCCAGCGCCTTAATGAGAATCCAATAGAAGCCAACAGTAGCCAGGAGACAATTTGCACTTCAGATTCATCGGCATGATCTGATGTCTTTTCTGCATTCAATCTGAAATCAGCAACTGTTGTGTGGAAAATAAATAAGAATGCCCCTTTGGCCCTTTGTGAAAGTTCAAACGAGTAAACTCCGTACCTCCTCACGTTTTTATTCACACCAGCTACAGAAGATGTGTATCATAACATAAATTTTCTTAACCTCTAATCTCTATTGCCAGTAAATAAATTATGATGAGGAATTTTCTTAACCTCTAATCTCTATTGCCAGTAAATAAATTATGATGAGGAACACTGGCACTGAGAGCTTTTGTATTAAGCATACGGAGAATCCTCTTTCTCTGATTAGGTTCACTTGATTTAGAGTACGTTTATTATTCAGTACTAGATTGGATCAGTAGCTAGCTTCTTTTTGTTTTTTTGTATCTTTTAATTCTTGGTTTCATAAACTCTATGACTATCAAGTTAAATGCTGCACGGATTTACTGATTACACCTTGAAATTGAAAATTTCATTGAAACTATATTGAAAAGGACAGAAGAGGATGCAATTTTTCACTATAGCCAGACTATGAGTCTTCTGAAGTCATGTACTATTTTTTGTGTATTGATTGAAAAAGATAAAAAGGAAACAAGAAAACATGGCCGTACAGAAGGGAAAAGACACTAGATCTTTCATTCATCCATGCTTTTGCTCTGTCTTCCTCAGTTTTTAATCTTCACACTTGTGATTAAACTAAATTCCAACTCAACTCAACTTCTTTTAAAGATTCCTTGTTGAAATTCTTTGCTTAGAGATAATTCAATGCAGCCACCTTCTTTTTTTTTTTTTTTGGTCAACAATGCAGCCACCTTCTATATATATATATATGCATCCCCATTCTGCCATGTGAAGTGAGTAATGCTTGAGTTAGATCCAGCTCTCCATAATAATAGTTCATTTTTAAAAGACAGAGAGCTCAGTTGCAACTTCCCCATACATGGCTCAACAATCTATTTCATTATAAATTGAATTATATTGAAATTCGACAGAGGATTTTGGTAATGAAGCTGATTCATACACAGTCCCTTTTGTAAACTCAAGTTTCAGGTTATTGACTTCATGTTTTTTAGTTTACTTTATTCTAGCTTTTTTGATAAATAATTTAAGTCAAATTATTAAAATTTGATTGAAAAGTCAGTGGTTGAATCTCTGAAGCACTGCATTAGACAAAGAGTATTTTATGCATGCTTGCGAAGTGCCAGTGATCATTTGCTGATTTGCAGACTTTGTGGATCCTTTCTCCATTATTGAGGAAATTGGTTGACTTTCAAAGTTTAACAGTAATTCTTTGTAATAGAGTAATATCTAGCTTAGCTGGCAATTGTGAAGGGAGCAAAAACAGAATAAGGCCCAAATTAGAGCAAAACTTGCTCTTTGTTGCAAGTCTATGAAAGGATGGATATCACCAGTAACAACTACTTTATTTCTCAGTCTATTATGCTTCTTAGGACGTGCTATGCACAGGGCAGGCCCAAATTTAAAAATAAAAAATAAAAAATACCTACATGTGTTATAAGTCCATCTTAAAATTAAAAAAAGAAACTAAAAGCAAACTCTACACATATATTGCCCATCTAGGTGGTCTCATATCTTCTCTCTCCTCTTTTGGTTTTTAGACTTCTTGTTTCTCTCTCTCTCTCTTTGCTACCCCACAATGGCAAGTTTCTCCCTCTTTTTTTTTTTTTT